TACGCGAAAGACTGTTGACTTCATCTCGCAAAAATCATATTCTCACTGCTTATTATTCCAACAATTCATTATCTTCTTTGCGTTTATCTTACACGCGTAAAGAGTCCAAGTACGAAAGAGTCTCGACTTAGAGTTGCGAAACCCGGCTCGCTCGGACTCGGAGCGTCTCATCTCGCCAGGAGTATTTAATCGCTAATTGTTACATTTTGTGTGTTACAGCGACGTTCTATAGGAATGAATTCGTTCCAGAAAATTCGGAATCGCCCATGTATATACCGCCATCGACACCGGTAACAATGCAGCCTACACGTGAGTCCGGTAAACGCGCGAAAAACAAGAAACGTCGAGAGGTCCAGCAAGAACGGGATCACCCTTGGACGATAGGCACGCTGAAAGGACACACCGGCGTGGTGAACGACATGGCCTTCTCCAGCAACGGCAAATATGTCGCGAGCTGTGCCGATGGTACGTACTAAAAAAAAAAAAAAAATAAGAAAATATTTACTGGAGTCCCTCTAATCAGAGGTCTGGCCAACTTGCAGTTCTGACAAAATTCTGTGAGAGAGAAGGAGAGAAATATACATTCAAATCGCTTTTTCTTTCTCTCTTATATCTCTTTCTCTTTCTGTTTCTCTTGCTTTTGCCAAGAAATAGCGAATCAATCAAAAGTTGCTACCGTATGGCCAGACTCTGATTAGAGGGACTCTAATATTCACTATCTTCGCTCGCGTAACTCTAATCGGTGATACAATTATATTCGGAAGGTGTTACATCATTAAACAAGTGATATTCATAACGTGTCATCCGAAGGCCGATAAGCAAAGCATTCGCTTCGAGAGAATTTGTCTAGTTTGGCGGAGTTTACACTAATTGGTTTTCACAGATAAATGTTAAAAGTTTTATAGCTTCTCGACATAGGAGCAGATGATAGAAATTTCATTTTTTTTATTGCAATGTGGTTTCTTCTACTAGCGCCGATAATAAAAATTTAATTATCTATTTTATTATTTGAATAATTAATTTGATGATTAAAAATTGCTCGCGGTCTCATCAAAGATTAAATTTATGATTAAATTAAATTAAATTATTTTTAAGTTTGAATATATAAAAAATTTTCGAGGATATAGAAAAGTCGTAGTTAACGAACAAGTGCCACCGTAAGAGTTACGTTACAGCAGGAGAAAGCTTTCTTTGTTTTCAATATTAATGTCGATTTGTTAATGTAACACGATCCACACGACGCGAGAATATAATAAATCGCGCGACGAACAATTTAAACTTGCAAATCGAGCAATACATTTTTTATGCTTTACGCCGGGCATACGTGCGTATTGTGTCTCGTAGATAACTAACTCGTACGTAGATACTAGCGGCATAGTATCACCCTTCTCTTTCTTTCTTTCTTAGCTGATTTTCCATTTTGCCAGCCGCATTTCCCATCACAAGCGTCCCGCAACTAAAAATCGTTGAAGTCTAAAATTCGTGTACACGTCTCTCGTATGAGAAAACTTTTTCTACAAAACAAGCTCCATCGTTTCTTTTTGTTTGTTTTTGTGAATAAATATAATCCGATTACACACAGTCGAGGACACTGTGTATCTTCAATCAATACTAATCCCGACGTGTCTGAATAGTGTTGAACACGACTATTTTGTCTGTATAAACTGACAATTGTAAGGCAATGTAAATACATTTTGCTGAGTAAATAATAAAATTTCGAGTTAGATACCATGCCGCTAAATAGGAAAAATACCGTAAATATCGTGAATAGATACCATACCGCGGAGAAGATTTAATAGCGCCCATCAGATACTATTATCTATTAGATATCATATATGCGAGAATATTTTGTTAGAATCTATCGCGAATAAAGGCGGATTCCGTGTGACACATCAGAAGAAAAAAAATAAATACGCTTTCATTGATGCATGGATCATCGATGAAGCTCGTGATGACTTATCTTCATAATACGCGTTGCGGTTTTCTTTTTTTTTGCTTCCTAAAGCGTTCACCTTTGATAAGATACGATAAGATGCGAGGCGCATATTAATTTGTGCTTCGTAATCCTTTTCTCGCGAGGTTCTTTCCCGTTTCTGAATTTATTTTCCTAAATCTGAATTAATGGTTCGTTCAATTCTTGCAATTTTGGGCTCAATTTTTACTTTAACGCTCACCATCTTTTCCTTGTCGCTCACATTTTGGCAGCACGCAAGCTGCCGAACATATATGTAAATATGATGTGCGAGTGCGACTCTTTGTCTCAGGTTACTGAAAAAAATTATAATGACGGTTTGGCAGCAATCACTCCTATTGTATACATGATACTGTCACTTAGAGACAAAGCTTCGCACGCCTTAATCATGCACTTTAATCATTTGCCTTAATCACGCGACAATGTCATTCGAAAGTTCATTACCGAGGCGCGAACAACAAAGAGGGGATAAAGTGGGGATCAACACGAAAATTATGCCGAAAATTGCGGCTAACACCGAATGTTTTAAATAAATCAGCTCGTCGGCGCGGACGGATACGCGAATAAATCGGAGATTCCATTCCGGAGTTAAAGTTCATTTGGCATGTTGAAAATTTGATTCGATTGAATACGAAGAGAATTAAATAATCTGAATGCGCGTGTTCATTACTTATTTTCTTTTTATATTGTATTGATCGATGAATAAAATGTGAGTGAAATATCTTGCGACGCCGCATGAATAAGTTAATTAATCAAGACAGTCGATTCAGTATTGCGGTAGGTCAGGCACAGTCCGGCGCGAGCCATTAGTAACGCGATTACTAAGTATATCTATTTTGCGTGATGAGAAAGTATCACGGTCGCGTAGACGTAGGAAAATCGACGAGCTTGGCCGTTAACAACATCAATACCGGAAATATATGCGCCGCTTTTATACGAGAAAGAGCAAAGTCCAGAAAATTGAAAGATTGACTTTCGGGAAGATTTATTTCTAAGGAAGTTTATTTCTAAGCAGTTGCAGAGATAGGTATTTTTTACTAACGAAGATTATAGAACGCAATAAGCCTTTTTATAAATCATTATTTATGTGACTATACATTTTTGCGATAAATATCTCTTAATTTAGGAGGGTATAGTCTAATATGTACCTGTCATATACCTAAATCGTACCTTATTAATTATTTTTTATTATTGACTACAAAAACGGCAAAAAATATGCAATAAAAAATAATGACAAAAAATTCCCACATTACATCTTGTTTCGTACGTATTACAAAAATTATACAAATTTTTTTAAATTAGGTATGATTAATGTAATTTTTGACCAATTTATGTATGATAATAATTTGAAAATACGGTATTATTCTGCTTTTTTTTTTAAACAGATTTATTGAATATTTTACATTCATTTTTTGCATATTACAAGTACTGTATAATTTATCATGTTTCCTAAATCTTATCAATACGAGATTTCTTAAACCGATACGATGTGATAACTCTTACTTTTATTCATTACATTATAACATTTATCATTTTATAACTATATAATATTATTTGTATAAGTTATATAAATGATGAACTATATAGCTATATAATCTGACCTATATGTAGTAAACTATAAATGCGATAAGCGAACGAGTTAAACATGAGTTCTCAAATCGTATTATTATTATATATGTCGGATACTTTTTGACTTGTTATTAATACATATAAACTTTCTCAACCATATTTTTTCATTAGTTTTATTCGCAAATTTATTATATAAATTTTTAAAGGAGATATGTTTTTGGAAATCGATAGGAATATGATTTAGGAAACTGGTTGCTTAAGTCGTATCTTTTATATCATATAAAATATATTTCATAACAAATTATTTTGCTCTTTAAAAAAGAATTAAATAATATGTATCTTAAACATTGAATATTAATTTTTAATATTAATTTACGTGCAAATTTGTACCAAATGAGAAATATAACATAATATGTCTTAAGTAATACGATTTTGTAGCACTTCCCCCCTATTATTAACTATATTTCTTAAAGTATGTAGTAAAGTATTTATTAACTTTATTACATACAATATTATAGTGATTAACTTATTGCAATACGAGATTCTAACGACATAACGATGATGTTATCCGGGATTGTCCATCTCCCAGATTCGTCGCTTAAATATACAAACAGATACGTTCTAAATATATATATACACGCAAATGAAGCTAGATAACACGAAGTCACGCGTCAACAAATAAGGGTATAATCAGATCGCATAATAAACCAGCTTCTTAATCAAGTAATCGACAGTAATTAAATTATAATACGTAGTTATAAACTTCAACGGCCTGCCGTTGATTCATCGCATGCAGCAGCACCGATCGCATGTTTCCTATTAGTCAGAGCTCTAATTCGAGCTCTTGAACGCAGTTGTCGACCAGTCGACGTCATTCATTTCACGTCATAATCCGTTCGATGGAAATTATCGCGGGAATCCTCGCGTTCGTGACCAATTGTTGGTCACGTTTCGCCGGAAAGTGGCAGCGGATTTCTTCGAGCCAACGAACGAGAGAGAAAGAGAGGAGCGGAACGATTTTATTAAATGACGCAACGGTACATATTGGACGTCGTCATACTGCATTCCGTTACCCGCGAGCAACAAGCGATTCTCTCTTTATGTCCGCTTCTTCCCTTCTGCGTCTCCCTCCGCCCCTGCCTCTGTCTCTCCTTCCGTTGCCTTCGCGGGCCGGTTCTCGGCTCGCTCTTTCCCGTTTGGGCGCGCAGTTGGCTCAAATTCAATTACCAATATCTCGCTTGTTGCGACGCCGACGAAAACTTTCGACGCGTTTTCGGCTATTACTCGCGATCCACGTCGCAATCTGCGCTTGTTCTTTATCGTGACACGCGACTAAAATCCGATCTCGCGTGATTCGGATGACATCTCCGAGGAAGTATCTGCGGTGGAAGCTCACGAGCCGAAATCTCGAATTTTTTAAAAATTTTGCGGGAAAGCCAAGTAAGTAAAATTACTGATAGACTGAGAAGTAAACGGAGCTGAATCGATATGCAAGATGTGCGCACGGGCTTATTAACCATACTGCTGCTGTATTTCTAAATAATTCGAGCGACCAGCGTTGCATCCAGCTATCTGGTTTCCTGGAAAACCCGAGACTTGGATATTCGAGTATATTTTTAACGACGACAGATTTGTTCGGGTATTCCAATATCTCGGCTATTAGGTTGACGTGAAAAGCGCATCATATTTATTAAATAAAATTGGAAACAATTAATTTTAACATTTATTTAAAATTAAAACTTAAGCAAAACTGCCGCCACGGACTTTATGCTTACTCTTCCTGTTTATTTTTTATTCAACTAAATATGATTTTTTAAAATATCTTTTTCGATTTTCTAATTTTATTTGATACGAATCTTTAGCATCAACCTAATAATGTCTAATATTTTCTCCGCATAGGCAAGGAACGTATTGCTTCTTGGACAGTCACGTGGATGTTTAATAAAATAATTTAACAATGATTTTTACATTCAGTAAAAGCGCGCTGTAGGAATAAAATAATATAATCTGCATACAGGATGGATTTAATATCTATTAATTTAAATTTATTATTGGTCGCGTGCTATTCTTTTTCGGGAGCAAATACCTGACTTTTGCGAACAGGGGCATCTACGTCGTATGTACACGCGTCGGACTCGCTTCGCGAGATGTTTCTCCTTCGGCCAGAGCACGGGCGGCTGAATGCAACCGCGCGTTCTCGCTATTTTTATCTCGACGAGCGCTCAAACGCGCAACGTCACGCAAATTTATCGCGAGGACGTGACCGAGGCAGCTGACCGGCAAAAAGTGATATACGTTGCATTCTTTTTTCGTCGGTAATGTAATTAGTGAAAGTTGCGTGCCTCGTTGAGTTCATTTTTACCGCCGTTACTTTTATATCTCAGGGAGACAGCTTAATTGTCCCTCCCCATCCTCGCGGCGAATTATTTCTCTCTTCTCTCTCCTAGTTAACAATCAGAGCGCGAAGCGACTTTAGCGAGAATCATGGTGATGAATGGTGATAAATAATCGCACCGAATTAGATATCCGTTCGAAACGAGACGATCGTCGAGAGGAGCTTGTAGAAAATGTAGTAGAGGATCGCTTCCCTCGTGAGGAAAGTCTTGACTCATATATGTTTGCGAATCATCCTATATATATCTCACAATCAGCGTAAAATGATATTTTTCTGAGAAATCCTTATCGGAGCAAATTTCGAAATTGCGCCTTTAGCGCAGCACAATACGACAGTAAGTAGTAAAACAACAAGAAACGAATCGATCTACTCATCGGCTTCGGCTATCGGAGCCTCCGCAGCTGTTGTTATTCGGGCGAGTGTTCTTTCAAGAAAAAGAGAGGTGTCCCCCTCGCAGAGTTTCTCTGTTTTTTAACGCGTCCAGTCGCGGATCATTCTTTCCCACGCGTCATTCTTTTCCGCGCGGAAGCTGGCAACGTAAAATCCCGGGGTCCCCCCTCCGTTCGCGGCGAATATATTGCGGCGCGTCACGAGTTTGCACAAGATAACACAGGCGCGAATAAAGAACAACGCGCCGCGCCGCCGCGAAGCGCTCACTCACGGTTCGTCTCCCCGAAATTATTCGCGCGTACATGTGTCGCCGCGAAAACAACGGTCGTTCGGATGTCTTTTCCCTCGCTATGGATCTGCCTCAGTACGTATCGCCGCATCTACGAATCGAACGGCGCGAAGTCACGAATGCCGCCGAGCGACATGTTCAACAGCACGTGGACGAGATACGGCCGGCACGAATTACGTATGTGACGTTTCTCTTTTTCTCCTCTCCCCCCTCTCGCACTCTTAATTTTATCTGACCTGGTCCTACCTCTACCTTGTACACCTCTATCGAGCGTTTTAATGTCGCTATTAAAGTGAGAGTGATCTGACCGATTCTAAAAGATTTTATGCGCGTACTTTCGCTTTTATCTCGCGCAGCAGTTTGTTTTTCGGATGATCGCGTATCCGTCTGTTTTCCCACGTGCGCCCACGTACGACGAACGAAACTATGTCAAACCTTTGTCGTTCTTGTCGGAGTACGAACGTCACCGCGAGCCGAAAAAATTCAAGGCAATTTTTGGGTCAAGAACACGCGACGCGGCCGCCCGCAACGCAACGCCATACTTTTTACTGAAAATTTACATTTTTCTCCGCACAAAAGCCTCTTCGTCACGATTTTAACGACAATAAAAGTATGATAACGCGGATTATCATAAAGTCTTCTTATCTGTCGCCTTGAAAAAAACGAAAACGCGCTCTGTCGCTTTCAATTTCTCTCAGAACCAATCTCGCAAAAGCTCGTTGAACTATTATTAGACATCCGGTTCGCTTGTCTTTTCGCATTGTGTGCCAGCCATTTTTCCTGTACCGCATATTAACATAGATCCCTTCATTAATTAGATAAAGAAAGAAAGAAAGAAAGAAAGAAAGAAAGAAAGAGAAAAGTCAGAAGGGTCAGAAGATTTGCATGCGCGTGTCGTGTGTGTGTGTGGACATCTTTAGCAATGTAGATCTTGATAGGTCGAGTAACTTACGTATATATTTGTTTGTCCCTATGAAATAAAGATGAGAACTTGCGAGAGACGAGAAAGCATGTCCAGTCCGCCGGGCAGTATATGTATAAGAAAAACGAGTCCAAGAAGAAGGCATCGGCGTCGCTGCAAACGACGAATGTCCGCGAATGCACGGAATCGCGGAGCTCCGGACGTCGCGAGGATAAGGAAACGAGAAGAGCGTCCAGGAGCAGGAGTCGGGGGTCTTCGCGGTTGTCTTCTCAGCACGGTACGGTGTCAGAGGAGCCTTTGTCGCACGAGGTGTTGACCAGCGACACGTCCAGCAATGACGACATCCCGGACGAGAGCCAGTGGCAGACGATGTTTCCGAGCGATGTGCCCACCTTCCTGGCATCGACGATAAACAAGTACACGCTGTCGCAGAAGGAATTGTTGGAGCATGGTTATCCCGTTCCGTCATCTCTCTCACCCGGTCACGCGATAATAAACAATGTCAAGTATCCGTCGGGCCCCAAGATCGAGAGTGACAGCGGACAATACAGCAATTCCAGTTCGTCGGACAATTCCGAGCAGGAGAGCTCGTCCGACAACGAGAAGAATCTCGACCGCGAAAACCGTCCCGACAAAGAGAGAAGCTCGGAGTGCAGAAACGGCTCGGGAAACGAGAAGAGACGCGACAGCGAGAGCGGCTCTGACAACGAGACGAGCTCGGACGACAAGAGCAGCTCCGGAAACGAGAAGAGCTGCGACAGCGAAAGCAGCTCCGACAGTGAGAGAAGCCCGAGCGACAGCAACAGCTCGGAAAGCTGGAAGAGCTGCGACAGCGGGAGCAATTCCGCCGGTGAGAAAAGCCCGGAGAGCAAGAAGTGCTCCGAGCACAAAAGGAGCTGCAACAGAAAGGACAGCTCCAGCAGCAAAAATAGTTCCGACGACGAGATGTGTCTCGACGAGAAGAGACACGGCAACAAAGTGAGGAACTGCAACAGCGAGAGCAGTTCCGACAGCGAGAAGAGTCCGGACAAGAAAGAATCCGGCGTGGGCGGCAATACGGGGTCATTGAAGAGGACGTGCGTCAGGTGCCAAAAGACGATCTACGTCGATCAGAGCGGCGAATATCTGGGCGCGGAACGTTGCGTCTACCATTGGGGCAAGCAGTACAACCGCATGACCAACGACAGCTGGTATTACACGTGCTGCAATCAGGATGGATTCTCGCGCGGCTGCGCCGAGTGGAAGACGCACGTATGGACCGGCCTTGTCCCCGGGATCAACGGGCCCTTCGCGAATTACGTGCGCACCATGCCGTCCCCGGTGTACCTGCACGACAACAACTACGGCGTCTACGCGATGGACTGCGAGATGTGCTACACGCGGCGGGGACTGGAGCTCGCCCGAGTGACCCTCGTCAATTTGTACGGCCAGATCGTATACGACACGCTCGTGAAGCCGAGCTCCGAGGTAATTGACTACAACACCAAGTTCAGCGGCATCACGGAGGAGGATTTGTTGAACGTCACCAAGACTCTGCGAGAGGTGCAGAACGATCTCCTCAAATTTATCCACGCCGAGACGATTCTTATGGGTCACGGTCTCGCGAACGACCTCAGGGCGCTGCGCATGATCCACACGAACGTGGTCGACACCAGCGTGATGTTCCCGCATTACCTCGGCCTGCCGTATCGCAACGGCCTCAAGACTCTGGCGCGCAGGGTGCTCAACCGGAAGATACAGGAGGAGACGCACAACTCCATCGAGGACGCGCGGGTCGTCATGGATCTGGTGTTCCGAAAGGCCCAGTACGAGTGGCAGGGCACTCTCGTCTGGTAGATAGATCGGTAGATAAAATCGTCACCTCGAGAAAAAGGACTCGTTACTGCGTGAAAGAAAGGACTTATTTGACAGAAGGTGACTCGCGGTGAGATTATGTCGCGATGGGAAGCGCGTGTCATCGAAATGATTTGTATAAACTAAGGGTGGACCGCGCCTTTTCCTATAGTGTTCATTTCCAGGGGTGAAATCTGTGATATTATATATATAGTGCAATGCGTTCCTCACGTGCGTTCCTGCGTCCGCGTTTTTTGTTTCTAATGATAAACGGATGACGATTGTATAATCACGCACACAATACATAACACAGACGTGTAACGTACAGCGCGGAGAGATAATTGACGATCATCACGGAGAAGTTTACATTGACTACGCGCAGTCGAACATTTTTCGAAGACTTTAAATCTATACTATTTTCTTCATTATTCTTTATACTTTCTTTTCACACTATTCTACGCTATGTCTACACTGCTACGCTATGTGTACTACGCTTTTACCTGACTATCGATCTGATATTTACTTAAAAACTTTATCTCGAACTTACTATTTTACTTTCGAATTGAACGACGATCGACTAATGATTGAGTCCTAATTATATTTTCAGACAATTAATTGCAGTTCGACTAATTAATCGGAGAGCTTCTTTGAATTTCACCTTTCTCCGATGTGCATTTTTTAAATATATCCGTATGTGTTTTGTATTGTATATACGTAATTTTCATAGCGTTTTATACTTTGTACATATTATATCATCCTTGGATCGCAATTTTGTACTCGCAAAAATATGTATACCTATTCGTGAAAATCTACGTATTTAACATGGATACGTATGTCTTCGTTATTCAGTATAATGTATCACTTCACATCCATCCTGTCATGCATATCCCATCCCGACATCACGCATATTTCATTCAATTTCAATCAATTATTCAATATCACCATTTTTTTTCCCCGCGAGGAGGACGAGCGGCGTCAATGATGCTGGTAAGTGCCTCTTGTTTGATTTTCACCGACGATCCGCATTAATTTCCGCTCGAGATGACCATGGATTTTTCTTGAACAACATCGTGACGTCGAGTATTCGTTAACGTGGCTCGCCAACTACAAAAGGCAAAAGAAAAATGCTGAACTCGTTGGTTTCACAGCTTAATTAATTTAAATTGATTAATTAATTAGTTTCATTCGCTGATTAAAATTATTCTCGTTGCGTTTAATCGCGCTGTTAATAATTTATTAAAACATTGAACGTTAACAAGAAACTTATTAAAAAGTGGCATTTTTCCGCACGTGCTTATGCATACTCGCGTGATCGATTATTTATTAATTGAATTGCATTCTTGTGCGAATAGACGCGAGGAATTACGCGTCAAGTTGATATCCCGGGCGTTATCATCCGCAAGGTTTTCTCTTTATACGTGCTACCAAGTGGCGATGTTCCGGCAAACAAAGTTCGCGAGCCACGTACTGTTATTACGCCACGTGTACGATACACGCGCGTAGCTTCTTATCAATTTTCGATGTGAACACGGTGAGTTCTCATAACGATCGACTGCGTATAACAATAGACATATATACGTATAATATTTTCATGAGAGAGACTGCCTAGCGCTTTTATCGACAATCTTCATGCCCCATCGCCCGTAATCATCCCTCATTGTCAGTTAACGATCATATAACGGCAGAATCGTCTGTCTATAGTGATAACGAATGTAATATTTAAATGTAAATATCGCGCCTGTAACGTGGAGACCCAACGGATTTTGTATAACGATAGTATTACCTTGTATAATATATATATTTATATATATTTTTCTATTCTCGCGTACCGTAATTTTACACCGATTGATTAGCGTTAGCGATGAGTAAAGTTACTCTCAGCGCGCTTCGTTTCTTTCTTTCCTTGAATTTCAACGTGGAAACGGAACTGCGAAGCGAATTTCGCGAATCTTGAAAGCTAGCGGAGAAACAGCAGTTAGGGAAAAAAAACCGAAGTCAGTAAGTTTTTACTCATCGCCATCGATAAATCTTAAGGCTTGACGGACAATTGAAGCGATTGAATGACGAAAAGTGAAGCAAGGAGGTACGAGGCGCGCACTCGCGCCAGGTGATTATGATCTCACTATCCACTACAGATTCCGTGCAGAATCACACTTATCGCACAGTAAAACACGTAGCGCGCGCGTTATGATTTTATCAGTAATCCCGACTGTACTATGTTTAACCCTGAAAGTCACAAGATTGTTAACTTGCGGGTCAGGCCGGCCGATTGGACACTCAACCTAAACGAGTGAAATTTGATCATTTCAAATTTCAACGCTTACTTTCTTCGGTTCTTCCAGTGGTATACTCAAGTCTTAAAACAGCGCAATCTTTTAAGACTTTCGCATAGCAACGAAAAGTGTCCCGCAAAATACGGGAGGAGTGTCCAACGAACGCTTTTTTCAGGATTAAAGGCATTGTCATATACAGTTCTGAACATAAATATATGTTGATTATGAAATATATGTAGCAGTGTTTTTTTTGTGTTTGCTTTTATTTGGAATATCTCTTCCCCGCTCCCAATGCGTCTCGCTTTAAATTAGGAGTCGGCAAACTTTTTCTATAAACGGCTAAGGTAATTAATATTTTAGGACCAAAAAATATTCGGCGCGCAGTTCACTTAGAATAAGTATATAAAAATTCTCACAGAAATATTATTATCGACATGAACATCCTGTGCAACTCTGAGCTCTTTGTAATTTAAATGATTTATTAATCTTATGAGCCTTCTTGTATTTAAATATGCTTTGCGGCCTAAAGGAGGCACTAAAATTTGAATTATATAATTTTTGTATAATTTTTACTTGTCACGAGATATTCTTCTTTTATTCTTTCTTTCGATTATTTAAGATCGTATACGAGAACACGCGGGCCGTACTTAATTTGCCGACTTCTGGTCTAAACGTGAAATATTACAGTAATCGCCGGATTCTCAGAGGCTCGAAGGTGTCTCTTCGTCTTTTTCGCGACGTCGTGCTGCGAATGAAATCGTTGGAAAGTGGCGGTATTTTTCACGTGGAAAGTCCGAGGTCCTCTCCTTCTTGCACCCATCCCATCCCACGGCATTACGACGACGTTTTTACGAGCAACGTGTACCGTCCTGTAAATAGCGATGCGTTTGTTCAAAAGTGCATTGCGAGGCTACCTGTCCGCGCCGTCCTGGGTACAGACATTCCTCGGTTTCGACGATGCCGACAGCTTTGCACTGTGCTGTTAATCAGTGTCAATTTTTTTCACGGACGAGAAAGAAAGATCGGAGGAAGGACGAGTAAAGAATGTATCGTCGCGCTTTTTGCCAGCTTGTTTACATCGATGCCGAGAAAAAAAATTGTTATCAAAATACGCTGTGAAACACCGTCGAATTATTTGTCGGAATAATTATTTCGCGTTGAAACAGCAATGTTTACGACATTATGGTCGGAATTTCGGCGGCACTCGTCCAAATGTGCCGAAAGTGGACTCGCGCGTCATTAAAAAGCGTACCTATGTGGTTGCCTTCTATCGTCAGTCAAAGTCCAGTCAAACCAACGGCCGTAAATATTGACAGGCGTGCGCGTTTCCGCTATACGCACGAGGTGCGTGGTGCGTGGCGCGTAGCGTCGCGCCGGATGAACTTCGACCATGTGTATTTACGCGTCGCGAAATATCATCCTGTCCGAAGCACGTGGCGATTACGATCGGATCGGCGCGGCGAGGTGCAACGCGCTCATCGATAAACACGTCGATGACTGTATCGTTGGCACAGCTGTGACGCGTGACCCGTGATAAATTTTCACGTCGTGTCAGTTCCCTCCGGACCCCGGTTGCTGCACGCGCGTGTCTGGCAAACGCTTTTCAACGTCTCGAGCCGCCTCGAGATCTTTAGACTGATGCCAAACGCGACGGGCACGATAAGCGAAAAATTAGTCAACGATATTTTTTCTGAAAGAACGAAGATTAATCGAACGAGTTAATAAATAAATATATATTCGTCGTATAAATGATGACGCAGCTCCTGAAGTTTCTGATAAAAAGATAAGATTCAAGTCTCGCCGGATTAGCATTTTTCCTTCTCTTCCGTGTTCCCGTTACGCACGCGATAGACATAAAAAACTCTTGCAGGCCTCGGCTGCGTTTTCTTTTTCACCTGGTACTTAGTTATAATGTCGTCAGATATACTGCTGGTCGGTTGTATTAAAAAAAAAAAAAATGTACGATGTGTATGCATAAAGGAGGTTACGCAATAACGTTACCAAGGAGAAAACGACGGCGAGCGGGGGAAGAGAGAAGAGAGAAACCGTTATATGGACAGCAACCGTTAAATGAGGCTCTTCGCTGAGATAATGATGATTCGGTGGGTGTTGGTACTGGAGGCCTTCGGACAGAGTTTAGGCAAACCGTTTTGTGCCTTGGATTTTTAGGCCTTGAGAGAGGGAGGGGGGCACTTAAAAGAAGAAGGCGAACAGTCGCGTTGATCCCACATGCGTCAGCCGAATTAACGTCTACGAGATTTGATCAAGTGCTCTCGTTCCTCACGTGCTTTATTTCTGAATTGTTCGTCGAGCACGAAATTGCAACGTTAGTTTGTCGGAGATCACCGTTTTCATCGCCAGAAATATTGAGAAGGAGACTCGGATACGACGTCTCCAATTCATCCCTGCCCCAATTTTGAAGACAATATTTTTTAAACGAATATTGGTCTCTGGTGCACTATAGTGCGGTTCTCGCAAAATTTCTCTTTACCTCACCAGTGCTTGTTTTGATGGTTATTTAACTTAACACGTCTGCCGAGTGAGATTTGTACGTCTTACTGGTACGCACAGTAGAATTTTCATAAATATATAATGATATAATGTTAAAATATCGTGTAGGATTATGTTCTTATGAGTAATGCGTTGAATAGCGCATTTTTTAATTTTACATTGTTATCTAGCCGCCTATATCATCCAAATTTTATACCAGATGACATTAACTTTTATAAACGTTTAAAAGAATTGCGGGGGCCGGTCACCCAATGACCTCGATTGAAAATAGTCATTGAAAAATCAGGCGTTAATGGATGACCGTCGTGGCAATCACATGTTAATGATATGCCCCAGACAGTCTCGACTATAGAGACATTATGATGCTCTGATTTCCTCCAGTCTTTTTTTCATTTGCAACGTAATAGACGGTTCCGCTTATTTTACTTTTGATTATTCATAGTTGTCCTTTCCGATTGAATCTCGATCTTTTTTCTGCTCGTCTAGTTCCATCGATAGTATATCATCTATTTGTGAATCTAATTGTAAGTGCGATTTACGGAAGCGCGACCCCCGGAAATTCCGCTCCGCGATAGCTCGGAATATGCTGCGATAGGTTTATTGAGTTTATAAACAACCGGCGCGATTTTAGTACGGATGTACTTTGCGGCTTGTTCGCAGGCTAGATTAGATAAGGAATTAGGTTGGGACGTATTTGAATCCAAAGGCAGAAAGGTAACAATCGTTATTGCGCCGAGTATGCTGATCAGATTATTGTTATCAGACGATTAGCAGCCTTGTTTGCGAATGGCCGATTCGCGGGAGTCCGCGATACGCGATATCACATTAGAATAATACTTAGCTTAAGAATATAGCGGTAATGACAATAAATCTATTTTTATTAACGGTGCTGGTATTTTAACGAGAATCCTACATCTCGTGATGTATCCCATTTTATAGATTTAGATTGACAAATACTTCCCGTTGATGCAATCCCAGTAAGCAAGAAACATCAAGGAACATTTCAACTAGATTGTAGAAACGTTAATTAAATGTAGTTGAAATATTTCTCAATGTTTCTTACTTATACTGGGATGCCCGCGCCTACATTGAATTAAAGAAAAGAATAAGAAGCCGCGGGGAGAAATCGGCGATAGAGCCATAGTCTGGAAAATCGAAAGCGTTACCTAATCGTAATAAATCTTCTCCAAAGGATTTCGTAATATATCATCTCGCCGCTACTTATTTTTTCAAGGACGGAATAATATGGAGATTCTCTCTGGCGGAGTAATGAGAGTTTTATTTCTCTGTTTTTGTTAATTCTTCTCTGTCAATTTCAAAATTGCGATATTTTCTTACTTTATTTTAAAGTTTCTCGAAATTTTATTTTTCGAACTCGCTGAACAGAGAAAAACTGTTGATTTCTACGAACATTGTAACGTTAACGATCGTTCATGTATATCTATATTTAAAATGTTTCGTCGACTGCGCAATTTACTACGATACATAATTTATTTTTCGCATTATTTTCTGCATTAGGTGGGTCTTATCGTTATTGTGCTTCTTGACAACGAGTCGGAAAATTCGCTTAGTAGTTAAACAATCAGTAATTATATTCGCAATTGCGTATTTAGCAATATCGCATGACTAAGAAATAACAAAGCGTTCCTATCTTCATACCAGCCAGTTTTACAACAAATTCTTGAGAACTTTATATCGGGATAAAAACTTTAACTCGACACGCTTTCTGCGCGTGTCTGGAATCAATTAAAGGAAATCTGGACGATGTCCAGGTCAGTTATGGTTCTAATCCTTAAAAAAGAGCAAAATAAGTATCCAAGAGACGCAATTTCTATGTTCGGTTCGCGATCGGTATACAACTAAAGTCAGCCTGATATCGACGTTTGCTATGTTTAGAGAACGGAATTGCTAAGCGATCCCCGACGATACGAAGTCACGAACGACGTTTGATATATATAATGTATACTATCTCTTCAGCAGTCACGCACTTTCTCTTCACAAACGTTGAGTCGAAGTAAAAAAAGAAGAAGAAAAAAGAAGAAGTAATGTAGTGCCACGTGGCTAGAAATAAGACAAGTTAGAAAACTTAAACTTGAATAGAAAAAAAAATTTCTTTTTGAATACTGATGAAAGAGAGAGCACCCAGAAAGAGACTCAAGTCCTTCTTCATATTTTTTTTCTAATACTTTCTGAAATGTGAATAAATGTACTTTGCACGATGACACCAATGAATAAATACAGAAAAACATTTTAAACCGTGAAAGTTTTTATCGAGAAACTTTCAACGTGGAAGGAACAAGGTTTTCGGTGGTCGATTTTGAATGCATCCTTAATTGATATTCTTAATTGACCTCTCGCTTTCTTATGCGATCGGGAATATATGCCGATCACGATCGAAGCTATGTCATCGATTTAGCAAAGACGTTTTCCTTGCACGCCACGGGCAAGATCAAGGTGTCGTGGATATTTCTAAAGCGATCATATGTCGAAATATATTCGCTAGGCACGTTGAGCCTGACCTTTGACTTACCGGCGGTTATTCCGTCGAGGGAATTGGTAATCGGTTTCCCCCAGATACAATCGCGAGACCCTCGGCTTGACTGTTAACATATCTTTACATAACTATAAAAGGTCTGACATTTATTCAAAATCTCTTTTCATAGTTATATACCAATAATGTACGTCAATTGGCGATCATCTGTAAGCGTACTTATTCGAAGAGC